GCCGCAGGATCTCTTTGTAGGCGTGCTGGTTGATCGTCTTTGGGTTTGAAATATATCTTTTGTGACACCAGTCCTGAAACTTTTCTGACGCACCTCGTATGTCAAAGTAACATCCACACGAACGCCTGCACCCCAGGTTTCCCAGCAGAGCGCTGCATCTTGATGATTAATGTTACTGACTCCCCCTGTCTGGTTTTAATGTCGTGATTGATCGGTGTATACGCAGGAGAAGCACAGGTGAAATTGCTAACATTAAAAACCTGTGAAAGCCATTTAGCTGAGCTCTGCTATAGAGCTTTTTCACGCCACACATTTAGACATTTCATAACAGAAAGCGCACGATGGCTGCATCCCACTTAGGGCAGGTGGATGCTGGCTCGCTGCCGTGTTTTACCCGGACACAAAAAGTAAACTCAGACGCTGTTGACATGATTAATTCCACTTGTGCTTTTCCTGCTGCGACAAGTCAAAATGTCTGCCGTGGAAAAAAGGCCCATTGTGCTGTCTGGCTCACTGGGGCACATCATGTAAACGATTGTTAATGAAATTTGATTCGGCCTCGCGTTTCTCCCTAATGACAAGTCAGTGAAAAGAGGTTTATTGTTAGACTGCGGTTCCCAGTAACTCTCTTCACTGTGTAAACTGATTGTTTTGGTCGTTCAGTCTGCAACTTTTCGGTTTTTGTTCGCTTTGGCCACCGCAGGAAACTTTTCTTTTTGAAAAGGCTGTCTTTTATACTCACAGTGCCACACATTGGTAAGAACAGACCTGATACAGAGAAACACTTCACAGCTAAAGAGCCAGACGGTGGAAAACAATAAACTATATCTACTCAAGTACTGTACAATTGTGAGATAAGTATTTCCATATTACAGCACTGCCTTGTTCCACTGTGCTACATGTAAGAGGGAACTGTTGTACTTTCTACCCCACCACATTTATTTTCCAGCTCGCTGTAGTTAAACAAAGATGTTACACAATGGATAACATAATGAGCTTTAAAAATAGAATACGCTGTTTATGATTAAACCAGCGGTTGGCAACCTTTTCGGATGAATGTTTTACAAAGAACAGTTTGTGCTGAGGATCACATTTCGACGTCAATAAGTTGTCAACAGCTCGTCCAAATATAAAATCGCCACCTTTAAACTCCTCACATGGTTTCGTTTCAATAAATGTTTAAATGAATTGAACTATATGTGGATAAGAACTCATTAAACAACTTTACTGAGTCGTCTCCTGTCCTCAGATATAAAGTCATTCAAACTAGCTGTCAGAGGGAACAAACAAACAAACAAACAAGTGCTTTTACTTTAATATTTAACTACATTTTACTGCTCGGGCTTGTGCACTTTTACCTAAGCGGGACTTTTCATGCAGTATTTGTACTTGTCATGGAATATTTTTTTTACCATTACTGTATTGGTGCTTTTTCTGAAGTGAAGGATATTTCTTCCACCGCTGGAGCTGGATGAAGACCAAAAACAGCTGAGAGACAAGTGAGTATTGGACTCAGATCACAAGCAGGAGTCCAGGTTGTTCTTTCAATGTGCCACAGCAGTTTAAGAGATAATCTGTGAATTCTGTGTTCACGGCTTGTTTCCACTGCCCCCAAGTGGCCACATGAAATAACTTGTTACGAGTTGAAGCAGAAGAAGGAACACCACACCACCATTACAAGGAAAGTTCTGTGTTCACACAAGAATAACAGAAAGTACTTAAAAGTTCCAGATGTAGAATCACTTGTTAGTGGCTGGTGTCAGTGTTGTGCAATATTGGAATGCTGTAACTGGTCAGGGTGAGGTTGATCTGATCTGTTTAACATACTATTTAGTTGTTCTCGTAGTAACAACTGGACTTGCTTGAGTCTCTTGAAGACTTTTCTTGAAGAGGAGTTTTAATGGCTCCTTAAGGATGTAAGTATCTGGAACGCCTAACTAGTCAGAACTGATGACGCCTCCTGGATGAGAGGTGAAACGTCTTCAAGAAACTCAAGCAAGTCCAAAACTACGAGCATAACCATGGCTTGGATGACTGAGAATCTTCACAGACACTATTTAGCTGTCTAACTTAACCTATGCACAGATATGGTGAGGCCAAAATACATAATGTGCC